AGCTTTTAAAGAAATTAGTTTAATTCTTAACTCTCATATCAGTTATCACAATTAAATATTATTACTTGTATTACAATAAAGAAAATAAGATATAATTATTCTAATGTCTAAAGATAATTTGACATTTTTATTTCGTAAATAGCATCAACTAATCAAGAATAATATCAATTACTTTTGTAATTAAAAAGATTGAAATCGACTCACTATGATCGTTCCAAGTAATATTAGTGTAATCAGTGACCAAACTCGTTTGCGATTCGCTATTCGATTTGCTTTCTTCTGTATAAATACTACCATTCTCGTCATTGTTTCCATCGGCATCTCGGAAAAACTTGGGGCATATAGTAGCGTAAGTATGAGTTCTACGAGCGTTATATACTTCATAGAGGATCTGATTGATATCTCGCATAATAGCCTGAGGTTGTTTCCTTGCTATGGAATTATTTTTGCCCCAGCATTCCAACATTAATTTATAGATTTCGTTTGGACAATCTTTAGGAGGAGGCAATCGGTTTCCACATTTATAATACTGCAAGATAATATCATTTAATCATCATAGTCAGAGTTTCTAATAACATAATTCTATCAACGTAAAAAATTAACGTAATGAAATTTTTGTTTGTAATAAATATACCATTTTAACAGTATGAGTTTTGTGATATTTGGGTGGGGGAGCCCCTCTGGAAAATATCTCCCAAATAGTTGTTGCCAATGCCCATATATCCGCTTGAAGACTATATTTTGCAGATGCAAAATCCGTGTAACATTCTGGTGGTATCCAATATATACTGCGCAAAATAACGAAAAATCGTGGATCCTTATATTACATTTGAAAAGAAAACAATGAATGTAATTAAACAAGATTTTTATTTCTTTACTTACTCGTCCTCGGTATAAGTGAAGAGACCAGGATCACCCAACTTGACAATGAAGCTGTTATCTGTATGCGAATGTACGAGAACGTTCCGGCATCTTATATTTCCATGAATTACACGATTCTCCTCCTACATATTCTTGCATGTTAAAGATATTAACATTAAGATATAACACAAATATTTGGAGAAATTTACCAAATGCCATAGAGCTGTTGCCAGACAGACGGTGGCTTCTACCATATCAACCGTTAATACAGATTTACTATTGCTGCACAGGTACTTGTCCAGCGGGCCCAAATTCACTAGCTCGAGTAGCATTCCGATCGTCGGGGCTACAGTTATGCCATATAATCTGAAAAATTGAACATAGTATTTTCACGCTTTAATACCTTTCTAAGATTTCTGATATTTACCTAACTAAAGCTACTGAACGCAATTGGCTCCATTTGCCGACCAATTCTAAAAATTCTTTGGTATAATTATTCTCCTCCGTCTTCAGTATCTTCATCATAACCTCGAGCTTCTTGCCTTTAGCAACTCGCCATATAGCTCGATGCAAACTCGTCATTGTCGTGGAACAAGTCAAATCTTCGTCGCTTTTTGCGATTGCTTTGTATACTTGCAATTCATTCCATGGTACGCATCGCGGCCCACCTTGCAATAGAGTAGTAATTATTTCCTCATCTGCCGCTACTTCGTTTACGATGTTTTCCGAAGCGCAAAGTAATAATTTGGACTTGTCTAGAAAATAAATTCTCTGTATATAAATGAAATACTAAAATATCGATATTTTTCTTCTAAAAAAAATATATACAATTCATATATAATTAATTAATATATACCATATTCCGAAAATCCCAAGCATTTTCCAAAGTATATTGATTCATTGGGATTTTGGAATGAAGAAATTAAATGTCTCAAAGATTCGTATACTCGAGAACTGTTTGTCATTACAAATTTATCAGGTTTAGTCTCTACTACTTCTTGCGAAGATATAGTTCCATCTTTGTTGTAAACGTCGATGTAATAAACACAATACTCGGTTTCACTCTCGCGCAGTATGTAACTTCCAAGCTCGTTGGCACATTTTTCCTTAAGCTTCGTATACGAGAAATCCTTTCTGAAACATTTTTGAAGACTCTATGTAAATATTACATATGTACTTTCTTTCATCTTGTAAAATTCATCTTACCCAACTGGTCCATGGCACCTTAATTTTTGTAATCTTTCTAAAGAAGGCGTAATAATACTAAGATCACCACTACAAAGATTAAAATTCCACTTAACAGATAAGCGATAATATCCGTCCAATGCGGATACAAATGATAATAAAATCGCTTTTGTGTCAAATTGTACACACAATGGTATGCCAGTCCTCCTTCCAATTAACACAGTGTTGTTTTTTCTAAAATATGAAAATGTGATAGATAAATATATATTCATTGTTTTTATTATATTTTATTAATATGGGCCATAAAAATGATTTTAATTTGTATTAAGATTGTGCATTAACAAGAAAAGCCAATGTGTTGAAATATATTGTTACATTGCATATATTTGTTATTACCCTATAGAGAGAGTGGAAATGTCCTCTATCCTACAAATCGTTTTCCATGTACCAATGTCAATCTCACAGTATTTTACTTGCTCTATGGTAACCCTAAGTAAGACTTTAGCTCTTAGATTAGGAACATCTTTATCCATTAATGCTGTGTATTCCTCATAGGGATAATTTGGAGCCATGCGTTCAAACTGTTTCAAATACTGCTCCTTGACATATGCAGCATCATACCCAGATAATTTTGTAAGTGCATTGTGAATAGGTTTTCTAATAAAAAAGGCATGCCTTTTTATGCATTCCTTAGGTATATATTTTTTATATTCTGATTCTACAATTTCTCGTGGGAGTTCTTCTTCAAGCATTACCCTGCAATGAAAAAATAATAAATAAACAATTGTTTATTCCATATTGCTCTATCAAAGAAAAATGGCTTGTACGTTACCTATACATATCGCTAACTCCTAGGCCAATTAATTCATGTTTATGTTTCTCATAAACAATGTCAGGTACCTTGTTATCCAATACATCCTTACGAACTTGTTCAAAATAATAATTATATGCATTTAAATCTATTTCTCTCAGCCTGTCCATACTAGATGGCTTGAATCTCAAGCGAAAGTTAAATCTGTATTTCTCCGAGTCTTCTTCCAGTATGTGACCACAAGGGAACCATAGTTTTGAAGAATAACTTTGCAGTGCAAACAGATGTCTTGCTAAAGGACTTATATTGAAAGTATGGCATATCTATAAGTTAAATAGTTTTGATTTTTAAAAATATTAAGATTGCTTTGCATACAAAGATAAAAATAAAAGATTATAACCAAAATTTATTCAAATATGTTATGGAAAAATAAATTTAATTTTACAGAAATAATAAAAAAGGTGCAATGTTGACAGAATAAAAAATTAATAAAAATAGACTATGTAGATTTATTAATAATTTTATAAAGATCAATAAAAATAATATGATTAAACAAATTTATTTTGATTTATTAACATACAACTATAATTACAATTCAACAGCCAGTGTGTCTTGGGGAGAGCAGTGGTCGTACATGTGTCACAAATCAAATTTTATAATACAAATAATACTGTAGTTATACATAAGATTTCCTAAATTAATTTAAATATTTACTGTATCTTCTTCAATCAATGGCTTTTGATCAACTCAGAATACAAACAGTAACCTTATACCAATTAAAAATTTTCCACACAACAATATAAATGTTACATAACATATTTTGTATGTATATAATAATAGATACATTGTTAAGCAGAAAATTATAATTATTGATATAACGTCATTGTTAGTTTGTGTTCTATACAAATAAATAAATATTAACAAAAGAGCTGATTTCCTGTTGATTTCTTGATTCCAATTAATGAAGATAATACAGTGTATGATTAATAGATAACATAGAATAGTTTTCACACAACAATATAAGTGTTTTCAAAATTGTCAAGTCAGAAATGTGTGTTTTTGCCATAGATATACAATAACATTCCATTCTGTTTTATTTAACTGAAAGAAAAAGAATCGTACACACCTTTATACACAGATACTCGATGGTTTCACCAACAGTAAATGCAAATTTCAATGGTTTATCTCTGTTGGCTATATAAATGTATACATAATGTGACAGTCGCGGGTCGTCATCCATATTAATTTACAAGGCGTCGGTCTCATCAGAAATATTACATCTTACAGCAATCCTCGATACCCAACGCACACCGATTTGTTTTTTGTTTACCATGTGTGATAAATATAGCGAATTCAGTCACCTGCATTACTCTGCACTTGTGCAGACTAAAGATTACTATGCCTAAAGTTGTTTAATGATAAAAATATAATGCACATATCATGATTAATAAAATGTCCAATATTAATATTATTACCTCTTTGATGAAAAACGCATTCAAATCTATTCTATCGATCAACACTACTGAGCCCTCCTATTTGGATGTTTTTTTGTAGAAAATCTTTACTACAGTATAACCAGAGAAAAATCTGAGAGAGGACATGACCAAAACCTATATATAACCGCAAAATGCTGCCGCGCACTACTGCCCTCTGACAAAGTGAATGTAAATTACATAGCAACGTCCACGTTTCAATACTGGAGATGATAAATCGATATTTGGTTCATATAATCGTGCTACACATGTATTGATGTATGCCTTTAAACCCTAAACACAATGCGAGGCAATAGCGATTGCTGGATTCACACTGTATCTGATTTTCGTCGTACGACACACTTCAACCAATCAGAAAACAGAATTCCGATGATACGAAGCAAAATCCATCGGAATCCTGTTTTCTGATTAGTTGCAGAGCGTCGTACGACGCAAATCGGATGCAGGCTGAATCCAGCTTTATGCTGTGCCCTGACTGTGGTCAAAGTCTCACTACAAATGCTATGAAGCGTTTGATGGACCAATTAGAAGAAAGAATTTTACAAACTGACCAATTAAAAGACGCTTCGAAGCATTTGTAGCATCGCGTTGACCGTGCCCCCTGATATGCTTCCGCCATGCACCTTGTATTCTTAGTATTCTTACATCATGATAGATGGTATTCTGAAACAATCCGCCGGCGGTATCGATAAATCGTTCTGCTTGTGAGGTAGTTATTCTAGCCGCATTATGAAGCTAGTAAGGTACGTAAAATATATGTGAAATTATATAATAAAAAAAAACATAACAAAAGGACTGAATTTTCTATACATGTAATTATGTATGTATATGATTTCCGTGAGAACTGTAAATGATTCTATGCGTGTACCCTAACCTATAATTTAAACGTTTTTGCGCCAAAACACTGATATTTCTTCAAAAATTAATGTTGCTTTTGCAGATTTTTGATGAAACTCAGTCACGAGACTGTGACGATAGAACTAAAAAATGGCACTCAAGTCACCGGCACAATTACAGGTATGTCAAAGTGACGTTTTGTTGTGTGACGCTACTTGGCGTCAAGTAGCGTCAGGTTAGAAACAAATCTATGTTGATGTATAAAATTAATTACACACATTAATATGACAGATTATTTATAATTAAAAATTTTTTAATTTTCTTATAGTATAGATATAATAGAGTATAAATATATAAAAATATATTTTTGTGAAAATGTATTAATAGCAGAGAATAGAGGAGTTACTATTCCGTTACTTTTTCTATTACTTATAATAACAATTTGATAATGATGTATTTTTTGACTGTAATGTACTGATTTGAAATAATCCATTACGTTATTTACTTGTCTTAATTATATGATTTTGTTATGCGATTTTGTGACATGATTCTTTTCAGTAAGGATAACAAAAAAAATTTGTCACTGTCATTGTTATTATAACGGAGTAAGGATAAGGAAAGTAATGGGTCTTCTACAATAAGCTGCAAGTCAGAAGTTCTAAGCGATCTTAAGTCATAATCGGTGCAGTTGGCCAACAGCCAACTTGAACAACTTGGTTAAGACTGGTTAAAACTTCTGACTTGCGGTTTATTGTAGAAGGCCCATAACGGTGTGACAAGTAACTAGTTATTTCCATTCCTTGTGTGTATTATTATTAATTATAAATTATTTTAAAAACCTTTTTATTTCTAATAGTGAATGTGAGTGGATGCATTGGTGTACTAAAGCCATTGTATACAAATTAAATGTAAAGATCTGTGTTTAATATTAATACAAAAACCAGTTAAACCATGATATTATCAATACATTTTATTGTGCTTTTAGATAAAGTATATATTTTCTAATTTAAAATAATTGCATTTTACTTTTACATTCAAATTAAATCAATATATAACAGCTTTAATATGTGCCAGTACACACTAGTGTATCCAATCAAATTTGCTATTAATTATATATTTCAGAACTGGGATTTATTTGCATATTTCTGCCGATTTTTAGCTTGGTTCCTGCCCATCGGCTGCGCGCGGGTTGGTGAAATAAGGGATAGGAACCAAGCTGAAAATCGGCTGAAATGTGCAACTAAATTCCAGCACTGGTATATTCATATGTGATCTAATGTCATTTATTATTGATAAATTATTTTGCTGCAGGTGTTGATGTTGCCATGAACACACATCTAAAAACAGTAAAAATGACAATAAAGAATCGTGAACCAATACAACTGGAGACTCTTAGTTTACGAGGAAACAATATAAGATACTACATTTTGCCTGATTCATTACCATTAGAAACATTACTAATTGATGATACACCGAAGGCTAAAGCCAAGAAGAAGGAAGCTGCGAGAGGTATGTTTATGTGTCTCGGCATATATTTATGTGTCTAGTTTTAATAATAAACAGAAATATCCAATATTGAAGCAAGCTACAGATAGCAAAATATTCCACAATCCATTTGTTAAAAGTATTCAGTACTGAAAGGGATAATCCAACAAGTATTAATCCTATATTTATACTTTTAACTTTAACTGATAAGAGATATTTTCTTTTTTCTACTTCTTTGCAATTATCACAGTTATATAATAAAGTTTTCTTTAGTTACATTAATTATACTATTTGTAGGTGCTGCCCGTGGTAGAGGACGCGGCGCCAGGGGCGGTAGAGGTGGCAGGGGTGGACGAGGTAGAGGGAGAGGCAGGCGATAGTGACATTCAACATGTTCTTCACATGTATTTTCAACATACACATTTTTCTATCTTTGTGAAAAGAATCATTATTCTGCTAATTTTATAAAAACGAATCTATGCGAAGCTGTTTTCTTGATATAGCCCTGATAATATATTTCAAGATGATGTGGACATCCATTTTTAACAGATTTAAATGTAGGGCACACAAGCATTCCGATATTTTAATCTTGTATTCGATTTTATCATCTTGATATGCTTGTAAAGAAATATAAAAAATTTGTAAAATTGATTTTCAACTATTATAATTACATATATGTGTGGTATATAATTAGCCATAGTTTTCATTGTAATATAATTCATTTAACATAATGTAAACTCCTTATTTGTTAATTCTATTAATTTGAATAATCTAATATTAATTTAAATTTCATTGTATTACAAATTTTTCTAAAAGGAGTTACAATTTATAATTGCAAGGATATCATGCTAGTACAAATTACATTTATTTCATTTGCGTCAGAGCGTGTGTGCGCCCACCACCCGTACGATACCATTGTAAAACTCAAAGACATAATAGATTTAGATCAATATATCTACGATAAAATTACTATTCGATATAACTAGAATGATATAAGACTTTCTCTGTAATTTAAATATTTCGAGGACTTTCTGAATAAAACAGTATGATTAAAAGCGCAGTTTTTATTAGTTTTTAAATTTAAATGTCATTTTGCGTATCAAACCATATTAAGTTCGCTTTTGTTATGTCCGCGTTAACGAACTTCAACGTATACTCGTATATTCGTCTAACCACTTCTGTCAACATTTACGTTACACGAAACTCCACGACTCGTGATACAATGTAATTCGCACGTCGTTATTCGCGGCGATCCCGTCCAAAAATGTTCGCACATGATTATGTGGAGGTCATCAAAAAGGCTGATCATCAACTGCTTACAATTTGTCATTAGATGCGGCCGCAGTAACTTCGATGCGGATGATTTAGATGACATTTCGGATTACGACGTCCTGGATGTTCCTAGTAATGTAGCGATAATTGCCTTTTACCGCGAAGAATTATCTCTGTTGTTACGAAAAATACATTTATTTAAAAATATTCAGTTTAATCAGTGAGAAGAGCTCTTATTTTGCCGTATTATAAGTAAAAAATAAGTAGAGTGCAAAGTGATCATTAAATTTTTATATAATTTTTTAATGCCATTTATACAATTTATATTGACATGATTCATACAAATTGTTTATACAAATTGGCTTCTAAATGTATATACGTAAAAAATTTTACTATTGGATTTCTACAAGACAACAGAATCTATTGAGATAAGTCAATATGCTGCCAAATGAATTTGAGCCAAGCTGAAATTTAAAAGTTTAAATTATAGTATTATTGAAATATTTTCCAGAGGATCAATTATGGTAGATTTATTGACCCATTCAATTATAGATCTATTTTTTACTCTTCTCTATTCATTCTTCTCAATACAAGTTGTATCATTTTGGTTTCTTAAAATTAATTAGCTTTTATAATTTAACATAAATTAAATGGATCTTACAGATCTAACATTAATAATCGTGTTGTAGATTTTGACGTCAATAGAAGAGTTAAATATAATAAAGTGTCTGATTGATCAATTCTAATCTTATTAGATATATCTAAAATATTTGATCTAATCTAATCTTATTATATACTAAAATATTATATGATATGAATCGAATTTTGCATTATACTAATAGCAAATTCGATTGGCTGTTCTCAGTACTGGTGTACATCGAAGTCGTCATAGATTGACGTAAAAATGTGTGTTTAATATAAATACAAAAACCAGTTAAACCATGAAATTCTTAATACACTTTATTGTACTATTAGATAAAGTATGTATTTCATAATTAAAAATATTTGTATTTTACTTTTACACTTTGATTAAATCAATGTACAATTTTAATATGCACCAGTGCGCACTAGTGCGTCCAACCGAATTCGCTACAAAATTGATCAATAAAAGGCAATTGAAAAAAATTAAGGTAGCAATAATTGTAGCAATCCCATGGTATATCTCAAAAGATAAATTAAGCCGAAGATATACTACCGACATGTCGCGGTTTGTGAAATGTTGGTATCGTAATAGAGAACGAAAAATCGCGGGCGGAATTAATCTTGGCGATAATAAAAATCATCGTTGATTTTATTATCTTGGTTCGCTCTCGGTTCTTGGCGGGGTAAATCAGGGCGAAAACGATCGATATTGCAGATCCGGGGGTAGCTTTACGACGAGACATGAAGTGCTCAAACGGACGGTTCAACGTCCTTGCAGTGCATTTTCAGCCGCAAACGTTCGCGCTGCCAAGGCAACCGCGCCAGGACGATCTCCAGCATCGACCGGACGCGCCGGGAGCGAGGAGGACCTCGCCGCCGGAAGTGGTGACCAAGGTGCTGCAAGCTCTCGAAGAGATGGGCGAGCCCGTGGGACCGTCGACGGTGGAAAAGATGCGCGGGGCTTCGTCGAAGTCCCTTGGGTACCTGCTGCATTCGGGAACATCGTCGACGAGGATGAGCTAACAGATTCGCCACTTCGCAGTTTCGATGAACTTCTACCTTGTGGAGTCCAGAGTTCTTGCTACCACAGCCACTCGGGACTCTCGTACGTGTGGACTCCCAGAAGAAGCGAACGATTTTCGTCCATAGAATATTCGACGTTCGTTCTTGTGATTTTACCTTTTTCTTCCTTTCTCTTATATGGACGTCTAAGTGTTAATTGTAATAATATTATATGCGCGTGTAGAAATAAACTGCATACGATACTTGAAAGATCCGAAAACTTTGCAGTTTGGATTCCTTATCGAGAATCATTGATTGCGTTTTTCATATGCGATTGTGTATTTGTCTGGCTATATGTTGCATATTGTTGTATTTACTTCACCAAAAAATGTATCAACGGCGAAAGCTATTACAATAAAATCTTGTTACGACAAACTCGGTCCAATTTCCGAGTTGAATGAATTCTTCGTATTGAAATTTCGTTAAATTTCTGATAGACCGTGTATTGATGTAAAAAACAGCTTCATTTTTGTAGACCATTTCCTGGAAATTTTTGCGGTGAAAAACATTCGATTGTAATTTATTGAAAATATTTCTAGAAAAGTCTTTTCATATACTTGTATAAAATACTATTATATCAACATGACTATTGTTGTTATTTAATGTATAATTATCAATAAATATATTTTATTTTACTGTTATGTTAGTGCATTTTATTAGATGCATGAACTAAAACGAAAGGAAAATTGGCTTAGCTGTCACCAATCTTTTTTATTAAAATTATTCATCTTATTTTTGTAATCTAGAGAAATTACATAAAGGCGTCTGTAAAATGCATTTAACAGGTGTTTTATTTATACATTTGTGATTTATTGATCGATACAAATGGGCGCAATTAAATTAGTGAATGAAGTTGCGATACGCAACATCTCTTTTAGCGGATTTGGGTGGATGCACTAGTGCGCACAATCTGCAGGCTGTGTACACAAATTTATCTATAACGTCTATCAAGAGAGATATATCACACATAATTACTTTAACTGAATAAAATTAATTATATTATAACAGTTATATTATGCGAACAACACTCATGATAATTATATTTTATTTTACGTGTATATCTCCAGTTTAAAATCAGCTTAATTCTTATGCTATTTTCATAACAAATGAATAAACATTATGTAATAAATATTTAAAATAATTATTCCTTTTTAAATTATTTCAATTTCAACAAAGATGTCGAGACTCGGAATATTAGGAATAGTTATGAAAAAATATCAAAGTATTAATATTTAAAATAGAGTAAAAATATACAAAATTATCAAGAAATATATAACAATATTCTGATTGAATTATGATAGAACGAATATTTCGTTCTTAGCAAGGAATTATATCGTTTCCTTCACCAAAATCTGCTTGTGTATACCAAAGATCTTGCATACTACGCAGTATCTTTTTAAGTGAATTAAGTACGGCAGTTTTCAGTGCGTATTTAGTGCATGCAATAGCTGAATTCGCTGTTCATCGAAATCCTTTTACAAGAACCCGATAACGCCGCAGGCAACGCGCTCGCCTGACGATCCGGTCTTCAGACTCTCTTCGGTTCCGCCGCGGCCGAGGTCGTCTGGTTTCGCGTGGATCACCAGAGCTCTGCCGATCGCACCCCGGACGCCCACTAGGCTCAAGTAGTGATCCATGCCGTCGATACGCGCCACTCCGTCCTCTCCGACCTCAATATTGCCGAGATCACCGACGTGACGTAACGGATCACTCGGTGCTCCGTGATTCACCTGAAACGCAATCACTCTTCGTTTACCGTAACGTAAAATGGAGAGAGAGAATGTGTTATCGCGCGAAGGAGATCGCGACGGCTCAATCCGCGAGGCGTGAGTTTATCAATTTGTGCTAATCACGTCGCATTTGCATTCGAAGAGTTAGATACGAAATTTAAATTTAAACGTTAATTAAAAAAACAATAGTATAAAGCAAAACAAGTCTAATAGTCTATACTATTTGACCCCCCGCCCCTGGGGTTAAAAACTCTACACTTATGGAGGAATGCTTATTAATTTATCATAAACTAATTGTGATGAGAATAGGTTGTCCTGTCCATCCTCTTTTTTTCCTCAAACGGGGGACATCGTCTTTTTATAATAGTGTCCGGGGATGTTCGGGAAAATTTTCCAAAGGTGTCCCAAATGATTACCGCTTGTAATTATCCCAGAAAATCTCTGTGGACGCCTTAGAAAAAAAAAAGACGAGTAAAAGAGAGCGTCCGAGGAAAAGAGGACGGATGGCAATCCTAGATGTGCATAATTTAGAATTGCAAAAACATTATTACCATGTACGGATTGAAATGCGGGCCAGCCGAATTGCAACCTTTCCTCAAATCTCCTTTTTCGTGTACATGGAATCCATGCAAGCCCGGATTTAATTCCGTGATATTACCCGTGACCCTGACCCCCTCGGGATGCTGCTCCAATGTCAGCATCCCTCGGGGCCCATCCATCGGCGAACCGTCTTCACCGAGAGATTTCATCTCCACTACGGCTTTCAAACCGACTGCCTACAAATTAAAAAAAAAAGGAATCATAATTATTTCAGATGTCAATATTTATTGGCAGGAAAGATCAACAAAAGTAGTAATTATTTTATTTGAAATAAAAAAATATATAAAAGAAAGTAGCATTTCGAAAGTTAGATAAATAGCACATTTGTCTAATACAGAATGTCTCATGGGAAGCTGCTGAAACTAATCATTTTTAAACGCATATAGGAAATAGGAAAAATAAAATATTTAACATCATTTTTGTAAAAAATCCATGTATATACTGTACACGTATATTATTAAGAATTTTAGCATTTCGAAAATATTCCAGGTAACAAGCTATCGTTATTTTGACGTCGATAGTTAGTTATTTTAAATTATTGACGTCATGTAACCTATTCAAGATGTAATAATGACGTCATCTTTTGATCAATTAATGACATCATTTATTTATGACGTCTTTACAATGTCATACTTAATGATATCGAATAAATAGCCAATTGTCGACGTACTAGTCATTATTAGTGATCAATCAATTAATAACGTCATACATTTATTCCGTTAATAACAAAAATAATTATGTATCTTTGATGTCAGTTTATGACGTTATGTGAGTGAAAAGAAATATAAGAATTCACGTCATTTTTACAATGTTTAGACGTCAAGAAGAGTATTATGGTTCTTAAAATGAAGTGGAAATTACAGAAGTAATTGAATTTACTAGAATATTTATAACTTCAACACTTAGCAAATTTGATCATTTTTGTAATTTTCATTTCGTCTCAGGAACCGTATAGATTCATCATAAGAATAATTAATGACATCAAATGGACACCTTGCTCAATAACACGATAAAAATGACGTATTTTTGACGTCGACTTATGATGTTATATACTTGACAAATCCACGTCATTTTTACGATGTTTGGACGTCATTTTAAACATCACATTCGTCAAAAGAATAACTAATTAATGATATTAAATAGGCGACATGCGACACCTTGCTACCTGGGATATGTATGTATTTTAAGATTGGCAATATTTGATATTTTTATAAACATTTATTAAATAATACGAATATGTTCGATCGTCTCTACTTGATAATAGATAGATAAATAAAACTGGTCGCAAATGTCAAATATCGTGCTTTTGAATTGTGTCACTTTTGAAGTAAAAGAGCGATAATTATAAACGATTACAATGTGTCCTTTCTAAATTTTTTCAAGTGAAATTCTATTTCAAAATAAAATGAAAATACTGTCACTATTGAAAACGAGTGAAAATATTTGCATTCTTGAATAAGAATGTCACATTTTCACTCTTTTTTTTTTTTTAATATAGTGACAGTATATTTTCATTCTTTTGGAATGAGATTTTACTCCAAGAAATTGAGTCCCGAAAAAATGGTAAATATCTCGATAAGTTTTTCGATCGAGAATTCATAGATTGGCGAGGAGTAGAACGAAAATCTACGCAACCGAGTATCTACGGAAGCAATTTGTTACTGCTCGATTATAGCTCGATTAATCCATAAATGCTGCCGCGCGAGCGGAGTCCCGCGGGAGAACGCGAAGACCGGAAATTGATAATGACGCGTCCGCGAGTATCGCGTACGAGTGATGCACTATGTAGTGCATTCGGGAGAAGAGAACGGTGTGCTTCCTATCTAATTTGTTCTGCCTACTAAATCGCATTAGAATTGCGCCACTCTTGCGTTCATCTTGATTTACCTACCTCGCGATTCGTGCGGACGTCAAGTTTATTTGGTTTTTTCTACTTTTTTTTTGTATAAGCGAGGTTGTGGTTCATGGATAAAATCCGCAATTACCAATGCGACTGGGGGTATAATCTATGGCGACGATGAAACGGTTAGAAACTGTGCGCAAGGTCGGCCGTAGTGAATCGCTGCTTCGTTAGAATTGCAAGGGGCATAGGCGAAGAGCGACCGCTCATATAGTGAAAGCGTCCTCGTGGCATAACGACGCGCATCAGTCGACGTCCTTCGCGATGTTTAAATAACTTAATGGCTAATTATGCAAATTTCCACGTATTAAAGACAGACTGTGTAGTTAATGACTAATAATAGAGTCGCGCCGATGGACAGGCCGATGAATTGTATCGCCACGTTCGTCGCGGAGGATGAAGAAGTCACGCGCATGGAAATGTTTACCAGAGATGCACACGAAGAAAGAGAGCGATGCTGCGATGCGTTGTTTAAGACGATTCGTACACATCTTCTCGATACTAAACGAGAATAAAACGAATAAATTTACATATTTTCTTTGAAAAATATATTTTCTTATATATATCATTTACTACAGTAACAACAAAAAATAAAAAAGCAAAGCTTTCCAGAAAATAAGTTCGAACATTTTGATTACAATTTTTTTATTTTAATTTTGAAATGTAATTTTGATAACTGATTGCAGAGAAATAAAAGTAGGTTTTTTCAGTTTTTTTGTTTTCGTTCTTTTTTGCAAAAATTATAACTTTTGAGTCATGTCCTTGTAGCAAATAAGCGATAATTTTTACTAGAAATGAGAAAGTCGCTTCCAATGAAAGAAAAAGGATTACAATCATTATAATTTACTATAATTTATAGTCATTTTTTTTTATAACATCTATATATTTATATTTATTTTAATAATACAAGTTATAGTTGTTTCAATGGTGTCATAAACACATAAAAGCTTATCATAGTTGTAATAATCATAATTATGACCCGATCGAAGTCGAAACGTTTGTTTTTGTAGCGCTTTTCATTTGTAATTTTTAATATACCTATATCATTAATACTGAATTTATTATATTTGGCTCGTAGCCCTTTTCAACATTATTTCTTTTAATTTTATATTACTTGACTCATGTATTTCTTTATTTTTTCTTTAATATATTTTTTAGTTATTATTATCATAAATAATAAGTAAATGTTAAGAAAATAATTATATTTATTATAATTGCAATTGTGTTTATTTTTATTATATAAAAATGCTTATTTTATTTACCCATCCACATTTTGATATTTTGTTATATTAACATTTAAAAATATCATATTTACAGTATAATTTTTTTATGATTGATGGAATTATAAATATAAAATTATTACTAATATTATAGCAGCAATAATTATGTAAAAACGAAGCTCATAATTATAATTATTTTACCGTACAATTATAATCATAAATTTCAAATTGTAGCAATTTAGCTAAACATTTTTTCTCAGTGTAAGATTTTTATCAAGTGTATGTAAACAAACGTATAATAACAAAATAATATGTGAATCTGTATTACTCGATTTACTAAATTTTCGTTATAAAATGTTCATTCATATGAATAAAAATGAGTTGATGTAACTCGTTTTTCCTTCATGCTGTATCCATATGAATGATAAATTATTACGTTCTACATAATTCTCGTTTCATCTTGCAAGTAACGCCGAATGACAGATGATTGCTACTTCAATAACGTTCGGCGGAAATGTTCGTAACGGCTGTTATTTGCACGTAAGGCTATAAATATGACGATACCAATTACCGCAAGCATTGAGATATACGATTACAAAGTAATCGTATATCGAGCAACAAAATTACATGTTGAGTTGATCAAGGGAAATTAAAGTTGAATAAATGGCGATATGAGGAATAGCTCCGTTAAAGTTTAAGAGAAAAGTGAAAGGATGTTCATTAAATGTTTTCGCACAAGTTTAACAAGATTACATAATTTATTTCAGGTCGATAAGATCCGTGTAAGATGCGAAATGTAAAGTGAAAAGGTTGACCGTATTGTTGGTTAGCAATTATTCGATTAAAAATCAGAAAATTTTAAGCGACCAATCTCACAAATTCTTTACAGCCATACTTTAAAAGTGAAGTATGACTGTAAAGAATTTGTGAGATTGATCGCTTAAAATTTTTTCTCGAAAGTGGAGATGTGAAAACCGAAAATATTTCAACAATACATCAATCTAAGAACTCTTGAAATTAAAGATTAATTAAGCTAAAAGTTTTTAAAGCAAATGAGAGTTAAGTACCGTTAATAAGGCACACATTGAATCTATTTCGAATTAAACGAAAAATACAAACGTTTCGGTTTTCTCTTTGGATCATTTTTAGGGTCCTATTATATAACATAAGTTCTTTCTTGATTTCCAAGTATATGCATTGGATTAATCCTAGTCGGATCAGTGTGTCGTTTACAAAGGTTGTAATCATGTAATGTAATTTAAATTCAATATTTCTTTATAATTTTCACCATATAATTTTCCTATAATATAATACAATATAATTCTCCAAATACAATATTTGAATAATTAAATTATCTTAAACACACAGATATATCATCAAATTGATGATTTATAATGCAATATATAACGATTAATATCAATTTTCAATTTTATTAGTAATTATATGAAAATGATATCACAAATTATAAATAAAGTTATATATAAAATTTTAAAAATATAAGTTGCTGAATAATTGTAATATAATGCCATAAAAATTCATCACACAATTATAAAGAAATTACTTTGATGATTAATATGGGCAACAATTAATATCAATTTCCAATTTTATTAGTAATTACATAAAAATGATAAATTCCGTCAAAAATTAAATAAAATTATTTTATATAAAATTAAAAAAAAACGTGGCAGTTTCTGAATAATTGTAATCAAATATAACGTAAGAAAAAGAAGCGTAATGCCATATAAATTTACTATGATAATATAAAAATAATTTGTGATTTTGATGATTAATAGGCAATGATTAATATCAATTTCCAATTTTATCAGTAATTATTATATATGAAAATGATAAATTCCATCAGAAATTAAATAAAATTATTACATAAAAAGAAAAAAGAAAACGTGAGAGTCTTTGAATATCTGTTATCAAGTATAATGCAATAAAAATTCGTCATATATACAATATCAATAATAAAAAAAAGACAAAAATATAAATACGTACGAAATAATACGGTTCCATATAAACCTCGTAGAGATCACTCCTAGTCCCAGGATATCCCGGCAGACTCCTAATGAACAGAGTCCTGTCGTTCACCGAGTCTGCTGTCCTGTCGTACGGTCCAGCTCTCGCGATCGCGATCATACCGATCAATATCGACAGCCGCCACATCTCGCGAGTCAGGAGTTCCGAAGGCGTGCCGGAAAGATTTAGCAGCGATTTGGTCCTCGCGAGGAGTCCTCCAAGTCGATCGGAGGATAAAACGGGTCTGACGGCCAGGACTCGACGGCGTCTCCAAGATCTGCTTGCTGTGTTTCTCCTTCCTCCTTCTCCCTGCTGTATTACCTCCACCTTCTCGACTCGATCGCCACGAGACCTGGCAGCCCGAGATTCATCCACTTCTCACGATAACGATCTCGGAGCCGTACCGATCAAGGAGCTGCCTCCGGAACCACCGCTTTTCAAAGACTGCTTTCCTCAGAGAAGAAAAAGAAGAAGAAGAATAAGAAGAAGAAGAAGAAGAAGAAGATGCTGTAGCGGCAGCAGCAGAGGTAGAACTAGGAGCTACCGGTTCGATTCCCCATGGCGTGTATTTATGCGTTGCGTCATCGGCGAGTCACGACGAGGACAAGGCAGGTTGTACTTGGGCGCCAAGCTCGAGGAGTGCCGTGACACCAGGGGGTCTCTCGATCGTGGATGAGCGATACCGATTTAACGAGACGCGATCTCGCGATCGCGTAACCGCTATCGGCTCGCAATCGGTGATTGCGTATGTGAATACCTGCTCCGGTCCCTCCTTCTTCCTCTTTTCAGACACATCAGTTCGGTGCATCGTGCCCGATGTACATCCGCCGTATTCAGTTCTCCAATGCACGTGGCCCACGCGCGAGACCGGCTGAGTGAAAGCGAGACGTGCCCCGCGGGTGCTTCTCGCTGCGGCCTGACGGATCGCTTATACTCCGCGAACTAATCTGGACATAGTCATCTTGTAAGTAACTCCAAGAGGCAAACGTGAAAAACTGCGAAAACCAGGACGGACAACTTTCGTAATTATCCAACTGGAACGGCAATAGCCGTTGCGTAAAATTCATCATCGTCAGGGGCTGTAAAGGTTGATCCGAACTAATTGATTTTCGGACGAGAATAAATTAAATTACAGAAAGTAATAGAATCAATTAATTGCGTCATATAACGAACACTGATTCTGAACACTAATTAAAAACTCTTTAATATACACTCACTCTAACACAGCTCTTTACTACTAATTAAAAACTCTTTAATATATTACATTTTTTTTGTAATAAAAGAAATAATGTAATAAACGAACAAAAAAATATCGACATAATTCACTGATATTGTGTTTGTTCTTTATTTCTTTTTATTGTATATTTGAGTGTTTGACATTTTGGCATTATGGCTTTTTTTTATTACCATTATTGGTTTCGTTTTATTCGTACTTTTTCAATATATGTATAATACGTTGAGTTTCATTACACATTACCGATGGAAATATAATTTATTCTATTGACAAAAATGTATTGCTAGCCGTATTTGATTTTAATATTAAAAAGCTAAATGATTCTCATGAGAATTTGACATCGCTATGAATATTAATCGAATTTTTCCCGTCGCTATATCGATATCTATGTTTTATTAAACTTTTATCAAAAGGTTTTGCGAATTATTCATATAAATCGAATTTCACGTTGCACATCTCTACCGAGTATTCCAAGTGTAGTATGCGAGGTTTACTTACATAGTTGCAATCATCCGCATTTGCATGCACAAACTGAATGTCGCCGTATCGCGGAATCGCGGTATTCACGGTGCGTGCGGCGTGCTAACGATCCGCGAAGAGTTTTCTTCAATTCCGAAGATACCATAATCCGATATCGCGTTCCCAGGAAACGACGCAGCGCGGTGCACCGGACGACATGCTACGTAGCAGATTTTTAATCACGTTAGAATAATTTACGATTATGCGCGACAATAAAATTCTCTCGTCTCTGTGAAAAACAACGAAAGACAATAACACAAGGGAGAAGGAGGATGAGCAGAAGAAGGAGAGGGACACAAGACGGAGATCTTGCTACAACCCGGTGCATCTGACAATGAGTGTAGGAGTGTAGGTTAAGCATGGTCGGATAGAAATAATAAGCGTCCTCAAGGTAGCCCTTGAGAGATACAATTCTCTTGAGGGCTGCAAATAGTACAAATAGGACACGAGGATTATAAATGATACAAATAAGACACGAGGATTACAAACAGTAAATATAGTTTCAAATGTATTAAAAGTTTGGACTGCAAACAAATCTGAGAGACCTTAATGGGAGGATCCTGTTTGCCTACTTACAGCACCGTTTGCCTACATCACTTTTGCCGACAGTTCATTTGCGCAAAAATTATTGTCTACAGTTCAATATCATTGTTTACTTGTACTATTCTCTGCTTTAAAAACACTAATTTTCTGCTTTAAAAACGAATTCTCTCTTTTGAAAAAATTCTCTGCTAAATATAAATTATTTTCTTACTTAACTTTAATTTTATATTTGTGCAAAAGTGCTTGTAGACGATTGGGCTGTAGGCAATAATTTTTGGGCACAAATGAACTGTCGGCAAAAATAATATAAGCAAACGATGCTGTAGGCAATCGATTTATAGGCAAAAGGAGCTACCTCGACCTTAATATCTCTATTAACGGAACATCATAGTGTGAATTGTCAATTAATTCGTGAAGAAATTCGTCATTAATTCGTGAAGAAAGGCGATGGTACATATTTAATCCCCCAAAGTTAATATTAAATAAAATTTGTGTTACATTTGACGTTAATGAAATGGAAAATTGCATTTATCTAAAGATTTTCGACGTACACTAAAAAAAATTTGTTAAATCTATATATCTTGAAATAGTATTAAGTAAATATTTACTTATATTAAATAAATATTTATTATTTTCAATTAATAAAAAAAAATAGTTAAATCACATTAATGATCTTTGTAGTGAATAAATACATGTTTAGTAAATATTTACTTACAACTATTCAAACAAATATAATATTTATTAAAATGCAGTATTCTTTTTCTTAGTATATGACAACGCGAAGATGATTGCAATTGATTTTCGTAAAGCGATCATTAACATTTAACTGATAACAATCGCTTTTATATATTTAAACTGTATTTGAAATAATATAAACAAATAAATTTTATAAAATAAAATTTGATAACAGTTGAAAATTAAACAATTAAAAATTAATAAAATAATGCATTAAGCTTTCATTAAGTTGATATTTTCACTTATAAATCTCGACATATGATTTCTATATAAATTCTAAAATGCTGTTTATCACACCATTATTATTAACTGTATTTGAAATAATATAAACAAATGAATTTGGTAAAGTAAAATTTGATAATAAATAGTTAAAAATCAAATCATTAAAAATTAATAAAAATTGCAAGCCATCATTAAGTTGATAAAGTTTATCGATAAATCTCGACATATAGATTCTATATAGATTCCTAATGTGCTGTTTACGCAAGTTTTTCCTTATAATGTTAGAAATTAACACAATTACTCATAATTGCGTCACGATTGGCACAAATGCTTACTTTTTTCTACAACGTTGAGCTCAACGATAATAATACATAAATTTTATTTTCAATGGGAGATGGTAAATGCTTTCTATGACGAGATACTCATCTTTGCAAAGCAGCGTTATTGCCGAAGTTTACCTTCGAAGATATTCCGCGATATATGTTTTGAAGATTGACAGCAACGTTGGAGAGTCGCACCTCGAAATGAGCAAGGTAATCTTTATTATCTTACAGCAGATGAAATCTCGCAGGGTCAAGGAGGCGAACCGTGAAGGTGTGTCATATCTTTACGACACCGATGTCTACGCCACTTTATGGCGCAGGAGTATGTCAATGAAAGGAGATGTGGTATCAGAACAACAATTTGTGTTTTACGTTGACCGACGAAGATTATTACGCAAGAGAATCTTGCCAATCATCCCGTTCGTTACTGGAGATGTTTAATTATCATCGTCATTTAAATCAAGTCGCCGATATATCAGTCGAATTTATAATTACTCTCTCGCTAATTCGCATCGAATTTTTATTTACTCAAAGAAAACTTCAAATTTTTTTTTTTATAAATTGTATTTATTAGTACAAATTGGAAATTCTTGAAAAAGAAATAAGTTATTTTAATCAATCAGTCTTCATAGTATTTAATGTGTGAATGAAATTTATTTTTAGAAAAAAATGGCAGAGAATTAATTGTCTTATTTCCAAAATAAAATGTCGTTTTCAGTTTATGAAGTTTATTTGAGTAGTTTATGAAGTGCGATTGGAGTGAAATTACCTCGTTTTCCTGAGAATGGGAAAATCTGGGTGAAACATTATAGACATGATTCGATCAGAATGTAGTCCGTCTATAAACTATTGCACAAGGTCTATGAAACCTTGGCGCCATGATGAGTAATGTTCTAGAAGAGGGGAGATAAGACAAGGTGTAGGTACACGTAGGTATGTACGAATGGTGGTCGACCAAGGAAGGCGAATGTCATAACTGCTTTCCATAGGTTTCAGTTTCTTCTAATCGGTGCTACCGTCAACGCGTTGTTACATTTTTATCGTTTGTGCCGTTTAACCTGTTAATTAAACATTCATCATAATCGATTAGTGCGTTTCAAATACTTCATATTTCGCGTATTGTACTACTTGTAACACATTTATGCAGTCTTGACTATAAAGATAAAGCACCATCAGTTTATTGCAATTTCTTGAAAAAAGCAGTAATAAAAAACCTATCAAAACTAAAATTGTTATAAAAATAAATATTAATTTTCAATAACACTGTTTTTATTTTTTTTATATATTTTTAAAAATATAGAACGTTTACATTAATTTGTAGAGATGTTTTATTCTTGTGTGCGTTTAATTTCTAAACTCTAGAAAGAATTTAAAATAATTTAAAATTTCAACATCGTTCTCTTTTAAATTCCATGACAGAAATTTAATCATGATTTATTTGTAGCGCGTAAATTTTTTATTTTTGACTTTCGAACTCTATGAAAATTTGCACCTGCTTTTCTCACAAGAAAAGCAATAGATAAGAATGTGGACCTTGAATATTATCACTTTAGGGGAAAACCGGGCGAGAATTTCGTTTATCGTCTCGTATTTAAAAATATGTATATTTATTTATTTTGCGTCGTTTTTCCAGGCAGTCTGCCGCCTGGCATCGGTAGACCGCGATCGGAAGATTTTCACGGAATATTTTTCGCAAATGACGAGTTGCCGTCTGGAGAGAAGATCGAAAGAATCCACCGGCAAGTCTGAGAGGGGATTCCTAAGAGCGGGTCGACGACCGATCGGGTACACGCGAACTCATCTCTGAAAAGGAACCGACTTAAAGTCGCTTAATCGCGATAACGGCTGCGGTGACGAGAGAGAAGTGGGTCTCTTCTCTCGTCAGTCCCTCGTGGTTCACGTCTCTCTTTCGTACTTGATTCTCCAAGTTTCTTCGTTGCAAGACGCAGTCGATGTTCGACGCTTTCAGACGCATGATCTACGCGAGTGTGCGTCGATAACGTGCGTCATATAGTGAAGAAATATCGAGGAAAAATAGTGTCGCGTTCGCAGCTGTCTGCAGTAGACAGCCTTAGTTACGTGGAAGTCACGAGTCTTCACAAGGTAAGGAAGAAAAGAATGCTCTCTTTCTGAATTGTCGAATGATTTACATAAAAAAAAAAAATTGAAACGATTATAGATTTTATATTTGTACATCATGTATTAAAGAGGGAATTTTAAAAAAGCAACAGTTGATCCGACAAATACACCGCATTAATAAATTCGAAAATCCTTGGCGATTTTTTCGCATCTCGTAAAAAGTTAAGTATCTTGGTGAAAAAAAAATCATAGAGAAAAGTTTAAAAAGATATGTCTAATTTAAAAAAAATACAGCTGCAAATTTAAGTTTTGGTTTCATATAGAAACAAAATTTTGTTTTTACGAAACTAATCGTAAATTTGTAGCTGTATCTTTCTATATTTAAGTAATTTAGTAACAAAATCGCGTATATCATAAATTTACGATTTTGTTACTAAATTACTTAAAATTGAAAACTGGTATTTTTTCGATATTTTTTATTTACTTTGAAGTGCTATAACTTGAGAAAACATTGCATAAAAATTAATGAGAAAGTATTTTAAAATAGATTTTCTAAGCTTTAAAATGGTTTTCTTTTTTTAAGTTGGTATTATAAATTTATCAATGACATTGAATTTTTTGTATAAAAACTTATTTTTACAAAATGTTTTTCTTATGAAATTAAAAAGTTTATGGAAAAAAGAAAAAAAGGAAAAATATAATATTCTATTATAGATTTGTATAAATTGTGTCAAAATCTTTTAAAATTAAACTTTTTCAAACTTGTTCAAACTTAACTTAAATTTAATTTAAATTTTAAGACACAAGAACATTGCAAGTGTTACGAACTTATAAAATGTAATGTATGTTATGAAAGAAAAATAATGCTATTATGTATGATTATAGTAAATTGTAATTACATGTATATCAACTTTTTGTATTCTTATTATCTTTAATTTGCCGGACAAAAATTGTTTGGTTACCGATTGATAGTTATTAAACAAATTAAAAAATATATATTATAAGTACAAAATATGAAGTACATAAAATTACTGAGTGATCTTGAAATTGGGATGATGTATTTTTTTTTAGATAAATATATCATTCACAAGAAAAAGTAACGTTTCTGACTCATTCGTAGAAAGGTTAACTCATGTTGTTTCAGTAATCATCCGTGTAATTAAACCACATAATTATTTCGCGCATCTTTGGAATTTTTCATAATAATTATGAACTCGATTATTTTCGAAGCATACAAGAGATGTTAACTTTCGATTAGATGTGCTTATCTATACTTTTTGCAAATGTTCGCAAAGATATCAAATATCTTATAAAAACAAGAACTTGTTATATAATACATTAATACATGGTGCAATTTTTGCATTGAATATGTATTATTGACATTTGTGTACTTTTATAGACATGCGATTTTCATGTTGCAATGGTATTAAGTATTAATTGCACATCATTAATATAGTCTTCGAGTTTCATTTAAAATTATAATATCAGTAACAACAGTTCACTTGCGGTTTTTTTAAAATAATATCTAAGCTTATGAAGGATAAGAATGTGAGTGCAAGGAGAACGGTATGCACTTTTTTGCCTCGTTTATTTTACATTTGCAATACAATCGATAAATACATCCGCATTCTATTAAATTTATTAACTCATACTTTTTCACACATAATATAAATTGTTTTTCAAAATAATATTTTAACATGTACTAAAATATTTGCATTAAATCTTATCGTAACATTTTTTAATGCTTGTTGAAAATCATATTTCCAAGTCCAAACTACATCGCACTTCCCATATTGTCAGTATTTTATTCAATTATCTTGCCGTGAATATATTGGATTTACGAGGTAAGTCTCACGTTCGAAAACACATCAGGCGCATGTGCAGAAATGCGACGATTATCTCGGTGACTTATTTATTATGTGAAACACTCATTGTTAAGCAGTATATCGTGCACGTTACACTGCACTATACGATCGTTCCAGTGATAAAAAGAGGCTTCGTGCACTTCAATAGAACATTATATACACCTGATTTAATATTTTTTTAAAACGAACGAATTTTTTCAGAAATATTTTGCAATACTTTGCAGCCTCATATCTTCTTCGATCTTTTTGTTGCAATAACACAAATGCAATATTTGATATTTTTTTACTCTTGCATTTTAAGTGATTTAAAAATTCTGATAACTCTTAAATAATCTGAAATATTTGAGCAAGTAATTACTGGCTAATTATATATTTTATATATATTACATAAAAAATTTGCAAATCCCATATTAGGATTTCTTTTCCAAAATATTTTAAGCGTGTTTTTACTCGCGTATTTTTATAATTCAAAAGATTAGAAAAAAAAAGAATATAGCTGTAGGAATTCTGTCACGGTTGTTAAACGAAATGTCAAAAATTCCTCGGCGAAGAATTTCACTCACCATCCGCATGCCGCGGAATAAAAATCATATCATAATCTTCGCGTCGAGCGGGCTTACCTGTTTTCTTCTTATTTTTTGATCTGCAACATGTCTAGTGCCGTTCCTATGAGCGACAGCCACATTAACATTCGACGTCAACGTCGACGTTTTACGAAGTCGCATGTCTTTTTATTTCCCGACGTATCACGTCGCGGCGCGGCGACCGGAGTGAATATCTTGCGCTCGCGCCACGCTATTTCCGAGATCAAACTGGTTGTAATTGTTGAACGATTGCGTTCAACGATGAATACGAGCGCGCAATTTCTGATCAATTTCGCAGACATTATATTACATCAATCATAATATCCTGAGACTAAGTTCCCTATAATTGCGCGAGTATCGAAGCGAATGTCTTGAACGTTTCTTACGAGACATGTAAAATCTTTAGGCGTAATTTGCACTATGCAAAAATTCCTAAATATAATTATTGTATCACGAAAATATTATATTATAAAAATCGATTTATTAATCACACTATTTAAATACTGTTAATTTAGCCGAAAAACGAGCCTAAAAATGAATAATTTAATAATAAGTATTACCTAATATATATATACATAAAAAAATTTGTAAATCATAATAATACGAATAGTTTAATAAAAATCAATAGTTAAGTAGCAAATAAAGTACATTATTTAAATATAAAAAATCTTTCTTACAAAGTATATTTAAATGTAAAAACTTTCTTACAAGGCATGTAAAATCGATATATTAGCTTATACATTGTAAAAGTTCCTGAATATAATTATTGTATTACAAAAATATTATAACAATTATATAATTTACTCACACTATTAAAGTCCTATTAATTTAGTTCAAAAGCAATTTAAAAAATGTAATAAATTAAATAATACAAATTAATATTTTAAATGCAAAGATTTACAACTGACTCATAACAAGAAAAATAGTTTAAATAGTTTACAAATCAACAAATAAGTAGCGAATAAAGCATTTTTTTTTAATTTAAACTCATGTTCGAAGGATATTTTTTAATTATGTGTTTATTTTGTATTATTATACACTGAAAAAAAATTTATTATATCTTAATAAATATTTCTTTAAATATTTATAAGTAAACATTTATTGAATGTTACCGAATGTTAATATTTATTTGATACAAGAAGCATTAATTTGGTTTAACTATCATTTTCTTTAATAAGTAAATGTTTACTTATAAATATTTAAAGTAAAGAAGATATAGTAAATTTTTTTTAGTGTATTTATTAAACTTACGATTAAAGTAGCAATCCATCTACGGTGTATGAATGAAACATTGATATTTTCATCCTCTTGCAACTCGGTTTGGTATAAAACCTAGTCAGAGCGAGCGACATTTCCCGATTTTCACGCTGCGGAAGCGCTATTAATTAAATTTTCCTTGCATATACATACTCTGCCGGAAATAATAATTACAAAGTTCCAATTGTGCGAAACGTTACTGCGTAACCGGACTGACAATCAGAGCTCTGCAAATGCAATATCCGGTTTCCTTTATAAAGAGAATCCAGGCACACAAAAGAGACTTCAATCCGAAGCACAATTATCCCCACTTCGTTGGGATGCGCTATAAACGTCCATCAATCTCGTTCGATTCACTTAAAAATACACCGCTCGATCGTTCGGATTTTTGTCGATACAACGATAAAAGCTGAAGCTCTTTGGAATCATGATAGTTCTCTGCAATCGAGCTTCAATAATACTATAATATTCTTCTCAAAATATGGCTGGAAAAACAAATCAACGATTAATAAATAACTTTTAAAAACTATTTGAAGAGTTTGGGATATTTAGAGGTATTGAAAAGCTAAAAGATTGTCTTCAAAATTTTCCTGATATCTCTACTATATTTTTTATTTAAAGTATTCATTGATTTATAATTATAAAATTTAATGCAATATTTTTCTAATACAATAGTAATAGTAATTATACACTTCGAAAAAAGTTTTGCCCTTTTAAAGTGAACACACTCTATTAAAAAATCTAAAACTCATGTTTTTCATTATGAAAACAATGGTATAAATTTCTACAAAACAGCAAAAATACGAACAACTCGTTATACACACTTTTTTAGTGTTTATAAGTTTAGAAAATTTAATGTAATGATTTTATAATGCAATAGTTTATAACTACTTTGAAAAGATTATTGTCATTCTAATTTCGTTGAAAAACTCAACAGATTAAATTGGATCTTATTGTTTAAATGATATTTTTGATGTGAGCGTCATGCGTTGCAATAAAG